CACTCAAATTCATTTTATAGAGAGGTTGGTTTCAGTAAGTCAGAGAAAATGGGATAACGGAGGACTGAGGTGTCTTGAAGTGATGAGAAAACAGACTCCTCAGATGGAGGAACTCTTTTTTGATTTTTACTTTTACTTTTATCCTCTTCGCCACTGATCGGCTTGTTAGCCGCTTGGGCGATCGGTCACGTCTCTTTTCCTTTATATTCTTCACCAAAAGGTCGGCTCGCTAGCCGCCCGGGCGATCGGTCACGTCTCTGTCACGCACTGTTGGCAAATACTGGGCATGCACCGGCTCCTGAATGTACCTGAACCCGCTCCAGTGTTGGTCAAGTCTTCTCTTGAAAGAGCTCACACTCGGTGCTGTCACAACACTCTCTGGTAGATTGTTCCAAGAGTTTACAACCCTCACTCCGAAAAAGTTTGCCCTGGGTTTCCTGGACTGCGGCTTCTTCAATCTTGAGCGCGACCTTGTGGGGCAGGCGTCCGCCAGCTCAAATGGGACGCTCAACTGAAAGTGCCCCTGAGGATGCTTATAAGCCTGGAATTTTGCCACGCATAGTATCGCTGAATCCGGAATTCAGGCGCTCCAATCTCGCAGGGTAGCTGAGATGCCGAAGTGCAGGCACCAGCTTGGTGGCCCTCCTTTGAACATTTTCAACCAACTGACAGTCCCTAGCATATCTCGGGGACCAGATGGGGTGACAGTACTCCAGATGGGGCGCTTCACTCCTGAAGATCGTCACGAGGGACGGACCGTCTAGATATCTGAACGACCTTCTTATAAGACCCAATAATTTATTTGCCTGATTTACCTTCTTCTCACAATGGCCGAGAACTTCAGCTCATTGTCAACATACACACCTAGGTCCTTCTCACACACAGTCTCAACTAGTACATTTTCTTCATCCGTTGGGACATATGATACGCCTCCTTACCGTTGGTACGCCCCAGGTGCATCCTCTTACACTTCGTGACATTGAATCTCAGCAGCCATTCCTTCGACCATTCCTGGAGCCCACAGAGGTCCTTCTGCAGCTCTTCACAGTCCGCTTGGTTCTTAATTTCCCGAAATAACTTGCCATCATCGGCAAACATTTGTATGGAGGAGTGTACAACGTCAGGCATATCATTTATGAAACAAACAAACAACAGCGGGCCCAATACACTACCCTGCGGTACCCCACTTGTTACAGGTACAGATGACGATTTCGTGCCATTAATCACCACACATTGCTTGCGGTCATGTAGAAAGTCTTCTATCCACGCTAGGACATTTCCCCGAATTCCGTACCCTTCCAGTTTGATTTTCAGCCTTTCGTGGGGTACACTGTCAAAAGCCTTGGCAAAATCTAGGTAAATATTGTCGATATTACCACCCCGTTCTAGAATATGGGTCCAAATATCCAATACCTTGAGCAATTGTGTCAAGCAAGAGCGCCCCGGCATAAAACCGTGTTGGCAATCTTTTACAAGGTTGTTTCGTAGTAGATGTTCCATCGCGGCATCTCTGATAATACTCTCAAGTACTTTACATATTATGCTGGTCAGGCTCACCGGTCTATAGTTGTTCGTGGAGTGACTATCGCCCTTCTTGAAGATAGGACTCACATAAGCCACTTTCCATTCACTGGGGACCATTTGTTCATCCAGGCATTTACAAAACAGAATCTTCAGGGGCTCTGCAAGCTCGTTGCACAGCTCTCTTAGCACTCTAGGATGCACCATGTCAGGTCCAGGACTCTTATGGACCTTTAGCCTGGACAGTTTATTTCTAATACCCTCTTCTGTGAACACAATGTGGGTCAGTGCTGTGTCGAACCGTCTGTCCTCAAACGCAGGAAGGTTAGTTGCATCCTCTCTTGTGAACACTGAGGAAAAGAAGCTGTTCAATGCCTCAGCTTTATCCTGGTCAGAATCTGCGTAACTACCATCTTCAAGCCTCAGGTCTGATACTCCTACTCGCGTTTTCAATTTCGACTTTGCATAGCGGTAAAACGCCTTTGGGTTTGACTTGACCTCGCGTGCAACCAGCCTTTGGAACTCCTTTTCAGCCCTCCTACACTCTATCTTTGCTTGGTTTCTGGCTCTTGCATACATCCTCCTGTCTTGCTCATCGTTTGACCCAACCCACGTCTTGAATTTCTGGGTTTTCTTCTTAATTTTGTCGACCGCCGCATGGTTCATGTGTAGGGATCCCCTCGTATTCCTAGAAGCACTGGGTTTGATCTTGGGTATATATTTATCGATCAAATGGGTCATTTTACTAGTTATGATATTCAGCGTAGTGTCTGCGTTCTTGTACCTTAATAAGTCAGGCCAGTTGATACCCCTCATCTCTTCCCTCATCCCATTGTAATTTCCCTTGTAATATTTGCACCTTGGCCTGGCCTTATCTTGAACTAGGTAACAGTTAAATCTGAATGACAACACTGTATGGTGACTGGTGCCAACTGGGGCAAGGTGTTCCAGTTTGGCCACCATACCCTCCTCGTTTGTTATGATGAGGTCAAGTGGCTTGGGTGTTTGCTCCCCTCTGTAATGTGTCGGGTCTCTCACATGTTGGAACAGAAAATTATCTCTCAGAGTTTGTACAAAAAGAGTAGCAGGATTATTCAAGTCATTCGGGGTGGACTCGTTTCTCCAGTCGATGTCGCCATAGTTAAAGTCCCCCATGATAAGGAGGTGGCTGGGGTTGAGCATCGCCGCATTGTTTATTAAGGTTCTTAAGTTCCTTTGATTTAGTGGGCCACAGTTTGGGGATCTGTAGATACACCCGACGATAAGTAAGTCCCCTCCCTTTAATTTAATTTTACACCACTTGGACTCTTCAAAAACATCCTCTCCCTGTACCCTCGCCTGGCTGGCTCTAAGGTCTTGCCTAGCGTAGATAACCACACCCCTCCTGCAGGATTCTTGAGTTAGGTTCGTAAATGAGTCATATCCAGCAATACTGAACTCACATTCCTCTGGGTCGATTCTCCTGTTCTTGTACAACAGTTCTACAACTCCTACAATATCTGGTTGGTGTACTCTTAGTAGTGTTTCAAACTCCTCTCTCTTATCAAGGAACGTGTCAGTATTAGTGTACATGACATTCAAGCCAGAATTTGTTCTCGGTAACGTCTCTGCTCTTAGTAATAAACCCGCTCCACCCACATTCTCAGAAGCTGCAGCATTTGCTAAGTACACTGTATTTTGCAGGGTGTGGTTAAAAATGTCATTGTTTACACGGCGCTCGTTCCCTCCTGTCCGGTAGGCTGAGCTGGTGCCGCCTCCCGGGTGGGGGGTTGAGTGGGTGGAGGGTGCACTGCTGCCCCCTGGCCCTGTGTCGGCACACTTGTTTCCACTACCCTCCCCCTGAGTATAACCCATGTGCACCTGTCCCCGTTCCTCCTCGACTCCTCCCTCTTCTGCTTCAAGTCCTGCAGGAGCTTCTTGTGCTGTTCCCTCTGCATTACCGTGCGGTCTGGGTGAATAAATACATCCCGAAATGCCTCGCTCCTTGCTAAGTTTTTTGCCTGCCGAATAACTTGCCATTTCTCCTCCTCACTCCCTAGTGTGATCCTGAGGGGGCGAGGCTTAGCCCCCTGCTTTTGTCCCAGTCTCCTCACATCCTGAGGGGTTGCTGGAATCTTCAGAACCTCTGTGCAAATATTTTGAAACAGCACCTTGTCGTGTGTTTCCTTACTCACAGTTCCCTCTGCCTGGCTCTCTGGGACTCCAAAAACTATTACATTGTTCCTGCGCTGGAGCCGTTCCTGGTGTTCCTCCTCTCCCCTAACAGTAGGTGCGTTAATTTTCATTTCTTCGACACACTTTTTCAGAGTCCCAATCTGCTGTAGAACCTGTACTGATTCTGCATTACTCTCCGCCCCCCCCCGTGGCCCTCCTAATACGTCAGCATAACTCCTCTTAGCAACCACCTCCATTCTATTAGCTACTTCCTCAGTCTTAGCAAGGATCTCTTTCCCAACTTGCTCCAGTTTGTCAACCAGCAGGGCTCCTGCTTCATCTATTTTCGTCCCTAGAGAACTCGTTCCCTTATGGATTGCAATCGCTTCATTCACCTTGACTATGCAGCCAGAGCAATACCAGCAACAGCCATCATGCTTTACGGCAGTTAGTAACTTCCTAAACGTTGCATTAGTTAGGCCTGTATCCTCCATATCCGACGTCTCCCTGGGCTATTAAGCGTAATATGAATCATTTGATTTTGGCACTAACTGACGTGTAAGACCGTGGTCATTACATCAGGAGCCTGTGAAATGAATTGTGTTCGTTAACCGAGGGACCACTGAACTCTATGAATAAAAACATAGTGCCTTATGATGCCACACCTTTCATAGATGGCACACCAATAGGCTAAAAAGAAAATATTAAGTTTTTAAGAGAATTCAATTTCCTTCCTCTATTTTCCTTGTACAACATTGAGCTTACATAATACTCATTCTATTATTGTTATTCTGGTATAAATCTTTTTAGAAGAGAAATAAAGAAGAATTCCAGTCTGGTCTTACTATATTCTGGATGTACAATCGGGGTCAAAAGTCTTGAACACTTGACAGTATTTGGCATGTAAGTACCCTCAGGCATAATATGTGATGACTAGTAGTGTTATTAGTATATCCCAATCATATAACTCAGTAGATGCCAGATATTGCTAAGTGTTCAAGACTTTTTGACCCTGACAGTACATACTGTACAGCATGTTCATGAATTCAACTTATTACTGTGGCTCCCCCTTACACACACAGGTGGGAGGAACAAAAGTTGATTTATTTATAATTTATTGCAATTATGAACACATACTATTTACTATTACTGTATCTTGTAATTTATATACAAGACATTAAGATTTAATTCATTATGGAAAATTCACCAAAAATGTAATGTTTTGTAAACCAAATCACACATTATTTAAATGACCACATTTCCAGTGAAAAGTTATTTTAATTTATTTTCCGTTAATGAACACGGGGTAAGATAAATAACACAGATTATTCTCAAAAATTTTCATTACGAACATGCATATAATTTAACTGTACTTCTTGTTCTATCATTTGTTGTTGAGGAGGATACAATGGCTATCTTCCCCATGATTTACTATTGTTTATATCCAGTGATGATGATGCTGCAGACATGTTTCAAATTATGGCTTGTCAACAATTTTTAACTGCTTATACCAAAGCAGGTGAATTGATCATTATCACATAACCAAATAAACCACTTTAACTTACATTAAATACAAAATGGTCCACATTTGACAGGAACAATAATAATACTTAATGTAAATAATAAAAAATTACCGTTTGTGAGTACCCAGGATTGAACGTTTGAAGTCATCTCACAGTTACACATGGTAGGAACAACACAGTCCTACTAATCAAACACTCAGTGAATAACATAGAAAAGTTAAGATATCTCTCATAGAAAAAACAGGGCACTTGACTACCTGCAAGAAATCATTTATTCATCTGCACCCATATTTTTTTTTAGTAAATACTTTCAGGTCAGTTACTTAAAACATTCACACTTTAAACTCGGTTTCTCATACACCATCCAACATGATTTCTTCTATCTAAATTGGACTCAAAATTTTATAGTAAAATACACTTCAGCATCATGTAACTAACTGGTGGGATGAGATTAGCAACCATCACATCATTCAGCCACCAATGAGACTTCATCAAAAACCATCTTTAATCTGCAGTACACATTACCTAATATACTAAGTGAGTAGCATTACTACAACACAGCATAACTCAATTACATTGGTGGTATACTGGTTAGGTGACATCATAATGCCAATTGTGGCTTGGTAAAACATAGCTCGAGCAGGAAATATTTACTATCCCACAAGTATTATTCATTAAACTAATGAGAAATTTGTCAATGAGGAACATCAACTTGTAAAAATTTACAGTGAATCAGACAGTAATGTTTACCAGACATAATTTGAGCATTAAGTAAAGTCTTGCCAACCAATGTCAATTGCCGAGTAATATAGCAAAATTATTATGAATGACTTCAAATGGCTTATCTGAGAACAAGAAAACAACTACAGTTGTACTGCCTCTTTCCACTTCTAGGAAAAAATAACACAATTATATAACCAAAGTAACAAAGATGACTGGACATATGTAAATCAGCAAAAAAAAAAAAAAAAAAAAAAAAAAAAAAAAATATACAAAGAATCAACAAGTTATTTCTGAAGTCTTTATGCAACTAACTACTAGCATTCATCACGAGGCTCTGTGAGGAGGGAAGATTACTTTACTGTAGATACCAACACTGACAATAAAATAATAATGACTGACATTCCAAAACAAGATGCAAGACATAACTGCCTGAAAAAGTCCTTAGTACGGTATGTACAAAAAACCATAAACCACATTCCTCACCTTGTACAAGAGTATCTTACCAAGTTAAGTCTATAATATCAATTAGCTCTATGTCAAACTGCCTAATGAAACTTTGCCCAAGGTATTCAACTGACTCCAAGCTCTCAAAAGCACTTTTCAAGATTATCCTCTAAAATTTTCCTAAAACAAAACAACATAGACTATGGGAATTCTAGACACAGACAGATGTCACAAAGCACTGTATTACCATAAAGTTTGCAAGCACTTATCTATTAAAGGTACATTTTAGACATAAGTATGAGCCTTTCCTTCAACATGAGTGTTGCTAAGATCTAAGTGCTTTTCTCACCCAAGAGCTTTACAGGCCAAATTTATTATTCCAAGTCCAGTTCTTTACCAATGTCTGATTTCCCAACCTTGATTACATACAGTATTATCATATAACCCTTGCAGCAAAATACATTTAGCTGAATAACAATTCGCCAAACTTTTACCATGACCAACACTAAGTCAAAGCCAAACAAGTCTCCAGCAGAAATGGGAAAAATATAGCTCTCTCTCCCTGGCAAAGTCTCAAAGGGCAAACAGTCTACTTCCTTGAAGGACTGACAATAAATGCCACAGGCACTTCTTATATTTCTGCAATAATGAGGCAGACAAAATTTGCAAATCGTAGCCCCTTTTGATGCGTGCCCTCTACTGCCGCTATAACCATCGGTCTGAATTTAAAAAGGTTAAGCATGATATTTCTCATCTATTAATTCATCCAACAAAAATTTTTGATTTGCAAGTCAATACAGTACCTAATATACTGCATTGACTTCTTTTATGTTGTTGTGTTCTTACAACAAAGACACTCCACATGATGGCTGGTTGGGACACCAGAGAGCACAATCACCGCACAGAGGACACACAGTGTACGCACACGAATAAGACACATGGCTGGAACTATAAGATATAACTGAAGTGGCACATCAATATGATTTATGGATTCAATTTTCACTTTTTGATAATTTATTTCATGACTACAAATATCTCAAAATATTCAAATTTCATTTAAAAATACTGCACTTTATTCTTCACTGCCACAAAAAAGCTACCACTACTATGAGCACTTAAAATTAAAGACTGTACATAGTAACCATAGTCTGTATGCCTTTACAGTTGATGTCAACTTTATTTTATTATGACCACAAATTAGAAAAATAAATACAACTTAAAAATCTATCAATGATGTACTTGACACCTGTAACAAGAGGCAGATCAGTATTTGGTGTTTTTAAATATTTTAAATATTTCTACCAGTGTTACAACAGCCTTCACAATTGGGTACCCTACACAATTTCTTCAGTTCCTCAACCTATTATAAATAGGTTTTTTTAATTATAATTTATGACAGATGGAACAGCCACCAAGACATGTACAGCATATAAAGCACCGCAGGCCCCCTAATATTGACACCAAGCCAGTTAAGTACTCATTCTGTAAACTGTGCACTTATGTTTCTGCAGGTTCTCATTCTGTAAACTGTGTACTTATGTTTCTGCAAGTTCTCCTTATATAACAGTCGAAGCACGGCTATTGAAGAAACATTAACCCAAGTCACCAATATTCCTGTGAACCCTTACTGTGTATTTTCTTAATTAAAGGAGTAATACTTTGCCTTGCCATGCCAGGTTTACTTAAATAATTGAGTGCATTCTAACCAGAGTATGCTAACCTTTATGTTAAAAAAATATATTAAGATAACACAAGAACATGGTCTTAAAAAAAAAAAAAATATATATATATATATATATACAGTATATATATATATATACATATATATATCCTGGTGTTACAAGAATGCATTTTCAGCTTACATAAAATATAATTTTACCCCAAAATTAAACAACAGTCTCTTCCTCGTGGGACTAGTACATCACTAAAAAGTAAATGAGTATTTTTGCTTGTGAAATAAAATAATCTTGTGAATTGTAATAAGCCATTTTTATGCCCAATTCCTTATTTACAATAAATGACATCTGGACCATGGGCTTGTAAGTATGACTGAATCTCCCTGGCATGCATCTGTGAATATCATCATCGAATGTGCTTTCAAAGGTCTGAGATACTGGTAATGACCCAACCCACAATGTCTTTAGCATGGAAGGCCTAGGAATTTATGAACTCTAATATGAAGCACAAGACTGTGATATTATGAGCACAGGATTTCAGGGGTTGTGAACTGTGACATTACAAACACAGCACTTGAGGGGCTACCTTCTGTTGCCAGAGGCCACTTTAATAATCCTTCATCCAAAGTGGAATGTATTGATTTTGAACACATCCTTAACAATGTCTACTACAACCAAAGGCTAATATTTGCCCAACATTCCTCTAGAGCCAGTTTTTACAATTTATGAGCTATCACTTTAATCAAAACATATAATACTAATGTATCTTACCTTAATTTTACCGGACAGTCTGCTTAATTGTAGCTGCATCTAACTACTACTTCCCCAGCTGCTGAAGTTAATGTTTTAGCTTCACATCTCACAATAATTACACTTGAACTGTACAACAGCTCCATTAATGCACATCATCTTTTGCTAACAATATTGGAAATGAGAAGATATTAATTTTTGAAAAGAAGAGAAAAATGATCAAGTCAATAAGTTTTTAATTCACAGCGGCCATCTCCTTGATCAATATTTTTTACTTTCAAATACTCTTTCAAAATAAAGAAATGTCCACATACACAAGCAAATACTTGTATGTAAATACAGTACATACATGCATGCATGGGTACACATTTGCATTTACAAGCTCACACACAAAAGTACATACATGCACAAGCCCACATGCTGCAACTTACAGCACAATACACTTGTTACTAAACTGCTCTGAAGTACTGTACCACTTGCCTCAATATACTTTTAAGTTTTAAAACAAAGTCAAAAGCATCTATAATCCACTGTGCTTAATTTTTTTTAGTATGTACGATAAAAAGCGAGGCTTTGGGTACTCGTAATAAAATTACTATAAGCCAGAACTGAAAATGGGTCTGAAGCCAAGGGCATGAGATAAGGCTGAGATCAGGGAGTGTGTCGTGGGATGAGAGTGATTTAACCCCTATGCCCCGGTTGACATTCCGAAATGCGTGCCTTTTCGCACCATTGTTTGAATGACCAAGGCAGGTTATAAGGTTCCAGCATGACTACCTGGTGGTCACACCACACGCAGGGTAGCGTGGGTGGGCTCAGTGCGGTCAGTGCGCATTAGCCTGTCGCCATGGAGAGTCGTACTTCAACCCCTCACTCTAAAAGTAGTGTAGTTGTTTTGTGGTCTAGTATTACTGAAAACAATGCTATTATTATGTTATAAATGTATTTATTTGTGGAATAATTATTCCGATAATTATTCATATGCATTACTTGCTCTCCCAAACACAAAGACAGCCTGGCGACAGACTGCGTGTGTCACGGAGCACTTTTTATGAAAAATAAAGCAAATAAAATAATTTCTAAATAAATTATTTATTGGAAATACGTATAATGATCAGTAAATATATGCATTACTTGCCATCCCGGACAAAAGGCAAGCAGAAAATGGCAGCTAAGTGCAGTGACCACAAGCGCTCGCCGTCAAACAAGCTGTCCACATCTCCCTCACCACTGCGGCCTCAGGGAAGTTTCTAGAGGGTCAAATATATAGTTTTTCTTACTTCTTTTTTATTGTTTTATCATTTAAAAAGGACAAAAAAAAAATAAAAAGTTGATTTTCTCTCAATTTACCCCGCGTGGGATGTACGGCCAGCGGCACCCTATCCTGGGGCGTAGGGGTTAAAGAGTTTAGTCTGGCTAAAAGTATCTGGTTGGATGAGTGGTTTTTGGTTTGTCTGGCTGGGTGAGATAAATTTTGATTGTCTGGATGGAGGGTGATGATAATTTTAAAAGTGGGAGAAGACATCAATATCTTGCAGATACTTGTATTAAAATTTCTCATTTCTTTCACTGGCTGTAAATAGAAAATAAAAGATATATATATAGGAAGACATGGCAAGAAAGAATTTGATGACCCTTAATAATAAGTGAATAAAAAAAAGTTACACAGTCCTCTAACATAAACAAAACACACTTGAAATCTATACAGATATACAAATTTACAAAGAAGCTGCTCTTTCTCCTGAAGCTGAGAAGCCCTGGTTCTAATAACATTATGTCATTAAAAGAAACAGAGAGTGAAACATGATGTTGAGAATGGGTTTCTTGCATTAATATTTCATGAAAACTTAAGATAGATGATGGAGAGGGATGGAAGAATTGGAGATTATGAAGAGGATTTATAGTTAATAACAACCATGTTGAACACAACAAGAGCTGAATGTACTGTATATGCAAAGGGTATCAAGGTAAATGACACTTGGGCAAGCATATGGGAGAGAGACCGGGAGAATTTTTTTTTAAATAATGACTCATGAGGGATTTAAATTGAGAAGATGCCCTGAAACTGCAAATAAAAGATGATAAACTTACAAACTGAACTGTAAGTCAATTGATTTGTTCCCAATGTACATGAATACATGAATAGCCCCCAATTAACCATGTAACAACTTACATACATTACTTTGTTAGTTTCACTCTCAGTATTTTAGATGAAGCAAAAATACAATAATGGAAAAATAAAATTATGAATGAACATAGCATCAAACAACAATCCTTGCAAGTTTTACACTACAAACAACAGAGAGGTCCAGTTAAGGTCCTATTTCTTGCACTTACATATTTTAACATCAAATTTGACTGACCCCATCCCTTTTTTTTTGTACAGCACGAAGACGACAAAATGTATAAACACTTTCCAATTACAGTACAATCTTATATCATCAGAATGATCAACCACTATTAGCTTATGTGTGCAGGAATAAAAGAAAAAAAAGTGCAGGTCTGCTTGACAAGAGCATAGAAGGTCAATGGTTCACATGATCATGTAATAATATTATTTCCCCCATAATATAATTAGAAAAACTTTACCATATTGAATATGCCTCACATTCTAGGCACAGCCTAGATACAATGAACATAACTAATATCCCCTACATCGCATAGTTGGAAAGTTGAGCATCAGAAGCATGAATTAGAGTTAAAACATCACACATGTTTTCCTGTCTTGGGAAATTTCAACTATTCTTTGGTGCAAGTCTAAGGCATTACATTGGGACTGATGATAAAACATGACACTTTACATTTGTGACATTGTAAATTTATATAAAGGTACAACTCACTACAGAGCTTTAAAATAATTATTCATATTGCATATATGATGCTCCATGATGTGAATCACAGTTCAAGACAGGGGGGAAAACAATCACAAGCATAACAATATATTACCTTGTCATAACTTTACCTTACACTGGTATTCTACAAAAGACAGCTACATATAAAGCATGTCACTCAGTGAGAAGAAACTTCCTTATGTATATCCCATTGTTCTTTCTAAGAAAACAAGAAGCAACACCTTTTATTTTTTATGGTTCTGTGTATAAAATCCTGGGGTGCTATTTGCATGAGATTCAGGAGATGATTTATCCTGATCATTAGCACTTTCACTATCATTGTTAACACCACTCCACTCATACACAGATTATTGGCTAATAATTTCCCTGAACGTATGTATCACGAGCCCTTCTGTCATGTAAATGTGATTGACTGTTCAAATGTCTCTCACCTAGAGTCATACACAAAAATGCCATCATGGGGGTAAGTGAAGGCCATAGCCAGTACAAAGTTAAGCCACATTTCAATGTTTGATATCCAACAACAGCTTAAATGTGAGTCTTACACAATAAACTGGTTGTAGCTGCTTAATATTTATAAAATGAGTGTAACGTGTAGACTGGGACAAAAACTGTCTGAATAATCTATATACTGTAGTTCCAAAAAAACAGGAAACTTGTAGATTAGAGTCTCTCAGCTCACCATCATTTTGAAGTAGAAGAAAAAATTTTACTTGCATTACAACTGGATCCCTGTAAGATACCAATATATAAAAATTTGTGGCCTATACAATTGTCCCCCTTTATGGATACATTGACAATCAGCTGTCATAACTAATAGCCATGACACAGATAATAATATATATCATCTGATACAGGTAATTCGAGCAAGCTGGTATTTTCTGCCAGATCTGCTGCTCTTGGCATATTACAAGGTCATTCTATCTATATCCACTATAAGTTGTCCAAATGGGAATCTATGTCCACATAGTCGTCCAAATGGGAGATAGTACCGTATTTGGATCTAGTTTGATTCTGAAACCACAGTTAAAAGGAGAATAAGTATGACCTTGAAACCGACATACTCTGAGGAAGAGTACTAAGTAAAAGCAGGATACAACTCCATGTCAGTGCAGCCGCCGCCAGATCTGGGCTTCATGATCGAGGGTCAGTAAGCCACCGCAGCTTCTTTATATTCTGAGCCTTCCAGGGTGAAAAAGTCTTCCAGCTTCCAAGTCAAGGTTTCAAAGGTTGGTCTCTTCATGGGGTCCTTGTGCCAACACTCAACCATGATGTCGTAAAGAGCAGGAGGACAGCCAGGCGGTGGAGGCATGCGGTACCCGTGTTCCACCTGGTGTAAGACCTCTGCATTGGTCATACCTGGGAAAGTAATCATAAATCAGCAATGTGCCTGTCATTCTAGACTAACAGACTGAATGTTTTTCAAACCAGCACTATACCAGCACCCCACCTTTGGGTTACACCCAATAACCATTTAACACTAATCACCATGTTGATACTTCCTTGTTCATATAATCAATAATGTAAATTTCAAATATTGGTTATACTTGAGAAGTAATCTGCTGTTATGCTCGAGATATTAATTGGAATACAGTAAATTTGAAATAAAACATTAATTTAAATTCAACATTTATAACAAAACAAATTTAAATTCAACATTTATAATAAAATTATTTAAATTCAACATTTATAATAAAACATTAATTTAAAGTCAGCATTTATAATAAAACAACAATTAGCAAAATTTCTTACAAGTGCTACTTCTCATTTGGCCTAAGAATATGGACTCTGTCCAGTTGTAGAATGAATGATTAAGGAAACATGCAATTATTGTAAACTTAAAATCCTTCAATCAGCAACCAAAATCAATTAAGCAGGAGGGGGAAGAAACAATTTACAGAATAACTTACTACTCAATGAAATGAACATAAGTATCCATACTACATTCCTCCTTTTAAAGGTTTCAAATTTCTCTTCGTATTTGTCAAATAAGATTTCTTTTATCTTAATCCACATATTTTTAATCAAGAAAATAACCAGTGGTGTGATTGCAAAACAAATTTGATTTGCTCTCAGTCGCAGCAAAATATGAGTAAGACAAGATGAAAAATTAAGAAAAATAAAACTGATTAAACACCTTAAACCTGGAGATGATCATCTACTGTATACTGTATTGTACTGTACTGTATATGCAAATGGAAAGGCCCAAAAAATTTCAATGAACCGAGCTTAAAACATTTTCCTTAACCCTGCTGACAAATCTGGATAAAAATGAAGCATGTAAGGATGATGGCAATGACAGGTGTAAATTACTAACCCCGGGCTACATACATAGTAAGGGTATATACAGCTAACGAGGAGTGAATAGTAAAGAGGGTAGAGGGAGGCAGTTTATATTGTGACATGGAAAAGTTCAATTATAAAACAATAAGAGAACAGGGGAAGGGATAACTGAAATAAGAGACCAATGGATGTTTTTAGTAATACAGTAGCAAATGACTATTGTTATGATCATCCCCCGAGAGTTCCTTGGAGGAGTGAATCATGGTACTTAAGAAAATTCAATATAATGTCTATATTTCTATTAATCATACATACCTGGATATGGTATACGTCCATAGGTGATAAGTTCAGTGAGAAGAATACCAAATGACCAAACGTCACTCTTTATTGAGAACTTGGAATAGTTTGCTGCCTCAGGCGCTGTCCACTTTATGGGGAAGCGTGCACCAACTCTCGCCTCATATTCATCCTCCTGAAGACACAAGATTGTTAATTTTGTTTTTAATCCCCATCAAAACAAATTTTCTCTCTATCAATTTCACACTCCTTTTACCAGAGAAAAGTAGTACTGATCCCCACAAATAAGACTACCACGATTTTCAAATTACAGGTAATAACACCATTTTATTAACTTATATCCTCATCACTATATAAAAGTCCAAGCAAATAATACTTTCATTACTGGCTTTACATAAAATTGTCAAATATGGAAAACACTTTAGCTTATGAAATAATAAAAAAGTGGAAAACATTCAATAATGACTAATATTTTAAAACAATGAAAACACACATTGTGCTTTGGTGAAAGTAAATAAAAGCATACACAAAAAGATATTTAAGGAATTTTTCCTGGAATACACAGAAATAATAAGTCAACTTGTCACACCAAAGTTATGTTGAAAAAGTGATGGGAATATACAAAACTTGAAAATTCTGCGAGAAAACTATATAAACTGATGTTTTACATCATACAAAGCATCAAAAGGAACCTGTAAGGAACCGAAGCATGACAACACGTTGTTTGTAAAGAATGTTTATGACTAGCAGCATCATGTAGAGCTTCTACACACACAAGCTTCTCTTTTTTATCAAAACCGGTTCAGTAAGATCAAATAGTTTGGATTTAGAATGAAACATACAGCAAGAAAAAATAAATAAATAAATTAACTTTCCAACACTAAAATGAACAAATTATTGAACTACAACCAACCAGTGTCAGTCCAGCTTATTTATACTGCCAATAAAATGAAACAAATACATGTACTGCTAATACTGTTTAAGCAAAAAAACCTACCCATAAATTTCTTAACATAATCTAACAGCCTAACACCAATACTATAAAGCACAAATGTAACTAGTGTGAAAGCAAAAGCCTGCAATCCACAAAACACATCAAGTCTAGCACTGCTTATCTTGCAGAGCATGACCACAGCAATCCAGGTTGTGAACACCCAAATACCCATCTCACCTGATCTTAAGCTTCACTTTACTCCACTGTTTTGCCTCTTAACTTGTATCTTAATGACATCCAATACTTCAAAATTAACTCATAGCAATTTTCAATCACAAAAGAAAAGCAGTTGAGCTTGACAGAAATTTCGAACAAGTTGACTTTCAAAATTTCAACCAAATCTTTCAAATTATTAAAATGCACAGCATTTGCAATCACAATGTGCACTTGGTTAATCTTTATAAATGAGACTTCTGCTTTACAACATGATGTGCAACATCTTGGCCTTTCAAATCCTTAAAACTTGTGTACAGTGATCCCTCGGTTAACGATTTACCTTCCATAAGATTCTTAATTTCGGTTAACGAGCAATCCCTCGATTAACGAATTTTTTACAAGCCGACCTCAACATGTTTTCGCTTGCATTTGGCGGTCCACCAGCTGTAGTATTAGTCCGCCAGGAGCCTTCTACATACACACCTCAAAGTAAGTGAACTTTTCTACCTTTTTTGTTGAATTTAGGCAATTTTCGGTGAGCTGGAACCAATTACCAAAAAACCAATTGAAACAATGGTTTCGGTTAACGAGATTTTCGGTTAACAAGCAACCTGCTGGAACGGATTGTGCTCGTTAACCGAGGGACCACTGTAATTTTAAAAATTTAACATTAAATTTTTATAGTCATTTTAACAATTATTGAACATAATTGAAGGCAAAGAAACTAGTTTCTGGCGTGCTATCCAGCCTGTTAACACACAAACAGGCGTTAGTCTCTCTCTCTCTTTTCAGTGGAGGTAACATATTGCTTGAGACTCTCTTCAACTAAAGCTTTTTTTCTGTGTTTCCAAGCAAATTATTGGTCATTTTGAAATTTATTTTATATATTGTTAATATATAATGCAGTGCAGTGTTGATTTAAAGAAAATAATCTTGAATTACACCAAGAGAACTAAAATTTTATGGGTGAAATAGCACCATGGGGTGACTTCTCTTCCACCCCAATGCCTTCTCTTCTCCCTTCTCCTCCACCCCCATTATAATTCCCATCATCATCATCATCATCATCATCATCCAGGAGCCTTCTACATACACACCTCAAAGTAAGTGAACTTTTCTACCTTTTTTGTTGAATTTAGACAATTTTTGGTGAGCTGGAACCAATTACCCAAAAACCCATTGGAACAATGGTTTCGGTTAACGAGTTTTTTGGTTAACGAGAAACCTGCTGGAACGGATTGTGCTCGTTAACCGAGGGACCACTGTATGTGGAAACTTGGTAAGAGGAGGGAGGTCATGGATAATTGCAAAAAGTTTAATTTATTTTCAGAGACAATAATTTGTGTACGGTGATGCCTAACTAGAACTACCAATGAGCTGTGATGTTTCAACATACAGTACACACAACATTTAATACCAGTATTTTTCGACTTGCATTCACTCCCTAAAAGTCTCTACAGTATTTTCATTTTGACAACTTGACCTTTCTAAACAGCTCCACTTTGCACAAAATAAACTTGCCAACAATTTATGAGTAGCCAAGAGTGAGCGCTACTACCAGACAAGGCGTGAGAAGAAAATTATAGGAAAGGAATTCAGACATAAAACTTGCTTCAATTTTGCTTGATGGTAACTGGGACACCATGCCATCAGATAATCATGGCTTACCCATGCAATAGTGGAAGATGGCCATAAAAAAGTGACAATCATGAAATAAAAAGATCCAGTATATACATGTCCCATGCTAGAAGACAGGTGTCTCAAACACCCAAGTGCAAATGTAGTACAGTATCCCTAAACAACTTGTTACAGTATGACAATAACTTCCTTTAAAGAAGAAAAATGTGAATTACTGAACCCAACTGGGACATTGTTGAGATACATATGATATCAATTTCCTGAATATCCATTGCTATTCATCCTAGTTATCAAATCCCAAACTGGCAGAACGCACACACAGGTTCTCTCCTGCTTCAGGGTGAGGAATACAAAAGGTTACTCTTCCCATCTTTCAGTTATCACTACAATCTTCAAATCACCGATGAAAAGTTAGAAATTTAATATATTTATACTCGTTTAACAATCACTCACCTAGCGATATTCCAGTTTAACAATATAAAATTATAAACACCCTCTTTTGTTTAATGATGACCAAATTTTCGTTTTAGCGATGTTACTCGCTGCGAAAAATTCAGGAGGAAGTCGAAAAAGGGGAGATTCTGTGCACCAAGTGAGCAGCATTATAATTCTCTAATGTGGCTTATAAATACAGAAAATATAATGTAAACCTTGGAAATAAGATAAAGAAGACTGTGGGTGTGTAAGTGTGGGAAGCAAACATAAGTATTGAGACAGTGTGAGCTGTAACTGCAACCAGCAACACTCTCCCTCCCCACTATGTGATGTCACGGCATGCAAGCAGCAGCCAAACACGTTTCTTGAGTCGGCTTATGACTGCCCGGCTGAACTGTGTCGTGTGTATACTGTACCAGTAAATATGAGGAATATATAAAAATAATAAATAAAATAAAATAAAAAATACTGCGTTGCCATTTGACAATCGTTTCACTCCACACTGAACATGAAACTGTGAACAGCTGAGAGATCCCCCATGCAACTCTCCCCTCCCATCTCCCGCTGTGTGTGCTAACTCCCGAGCACGTAGGAAATTTTTATTCACTTTACATTTTTTTCAATAAAATACAATTTTATTTTTGCACATTTTGTATGAACGATTGTGTGCATATTAAAAAACATGCTGTATATCTACCAATAATTGTGTTGAAAAATAATGTAACCATAATGTAGTTCAGAGCTGGCAGGAAGAAATGTTTATTCCTATATTTTTTACATTGATGTTTTTTGCACATTCTATATGGAGAATTATGTGCATGTAGCAAAAAAATTTATTAATAATAAAAATGAGAAAAATTTAAACTACAGTGGTCCCTCGGTTAACAAGCACAATCCGTTCCAGCAGGTTGCTCGTTAACCGAAACCATTGTTTCAATTGGTTTTTGGGTAATTGGTTCCAGCTCACCAAAAATTGCCTAAATTCAACAAAAAAGGTAGAAAAGTTCACTTACTTTGAGGTGTGTATGTAGAAGGCTCCTGGATGATGATGATGATGATGATGATAAGGTGAATTTGAAGTGGGAGGTGGAGGAGGAGAAGGGAGAAGAGAAGGAAGTGGAGGTGGAGGAGAAGCATTTTACTGCTTCTTGGAAGGTGAGTCACCTTCCATGAAAATGTCAGGAACCTCTGGACTGACAGATTCTCCACCATGAACATCCTCTCTCCTTGAAGTGGAAGGCTGAGGGATAGCATCTTGTTCCCTCTGCCTTTTACTGAAGAAAGTGTCAATTGTGGTCTGTGGGGCATCTGTCCTCCTCACCATTAACTTATGTTTAAAGAAGGAGACCACCGAGTCCTCAACATGACACAAAGTTAGTTCAGTTTTTTCCACATCTGGGTGCTTTGAAGCCAGTTCCCTGAACTTCTCCCAGTGGTAAATCACATCTTTCAACTGTTTAGCTGACATATGGTCATCACTTTCAATATCCTCCTCACCACTGTCAGCCTCTACCTGTAACATCTCATCCAGTTGCTTCAAGTCATCAGGAGTAAGTTCCTCCTCATGAGACATCACAAGCTCTTCCACATCCTCCTCCTCCACTTCAAGGCCCAATGACTGACCAATGGACACAATCTCCTGGTCCAACTCTGTTTCTTCCTCAAATCCCTCAAAATCATGGACTACTGATGGCCACAGTGCTTTCCATGAAGAATTGAGGGATCTAGTGGAGACTTCTTGCCATGATGACACAATCAATTTTACAGCCTCCAGGATGTTGAATTGTGTCTTCCAGAAATGTTTCAGTGTTAGTTCAGGATCATTGGAAGTTGCCTGATGACACCTCCTAAACATTTTCTTCATGTACAACTTCTTGAAGTTGCTGATCACATTCTGGTCCATTGGCTGTATGATTGATGTAGTGTTTGGAGGCAAAAACAACACTTTCACA